TTCCCTTTCTCCTTGCTCCCCTTTTCCCCCCTCCCCTATTCCCCCTGTTCCCTTGGCTGTGGTTTCTCTCTCCCAGCCCAGTTCTGTGTGAGGTGATGATGACATTTCTGTGCTCTGGAGGCAAGAGGTGAAATCTCTCACTGTGTTGGTGTTGTTTCTTGACCTTTGGGCTCAGCCCGTGCTCTGTTGTTTCTCCCTTAGGCCATGGAATCACTGCTCCATCCCCCCAGAGCCATTCCAGCCTGCCTCGTTGTCCCTGTGAGGACGAAGCGGAGACTTTTTGTCCCTGAATGGGCCCGGGAGCTGCCCCCTGAAGAGAAGGAGAAGAGGCTGCAGTCCTTGGGCAGAACCTTTCCTGAGGATCGCATGGAACGGGCCTTCTACTTGGCCTGCACAGGTGGCACTTTGCTTTGGTCTCTTCTAACGGGCACAACTAAGGCAGACTAGAACTACTGTGACTGCATTGACAGTTATCTGCATGCAGCAAACTGAATGACTTGCTGTGCCCCGGGGGAGTGATAGCAGCTGCCCTGGTGCTGTCAGCCCTGTGTCTCGTGTTGGCCCCTTTGTACTCAGGGACCAGGAATAGCATGGGAGGCCGTGCTCCCTGCTGCTGATTGCCTTATCCTCGTACCTCAGGGCTGCAGGCAGTGAGAGCAGGCAGTAGCACAGCTTGTCAGCAGTGAGAGGTGCCCCCATTATTTATCCCAGTGCTCCTATTTCATCCTACAAATGTTTTCAATCCTGTTTCTCCACCCCCAGCAACCAAGGCGCTGCCTCTTTGTCTCCTTGATTCCCCTCCTGACCTCCCTTCTCTCACACAGCCAGTATCATAGACCCTTACGTCCCTCCTGAGGGCGATGCCCGCATGACTTCCCTGTCCAAAGATGGGCTGAAGCAAAGAATGGAGAAGCTGAAGCAGTCTGCTGCCTCTCAGTTAGCGTATGTACCTCCTTTTCAATTAGTCTCTAGTGCTGAAGTTTTGCTCAATGTTGTCTTGCACCACAGCTGGGTAATGCAGTCGTCATCGTCCGAAACGCACAGAAGACATTTTTCATTTGCTCAGAGCTTTTTCTTGTCTTTTCAGCCTGCGGAAGGTAAAGGATCACGATCCAAATTTCAGCACTAAAACTTTCCCAGAGATGGCACAGGAGATCTATGTTGAAGCTCACAACAGTCTGGCAAAGTAAGACCCGTTCTGACCAGTGGGGTTACGTAGGACTTGCTTCTCTTTGCTTACCTGCTCTGGTTTTCTTGTCTTTGTATCCTTGTGTTTCATTGGCAACAAGTGCTTTATCTTTTGCTGCCCTCATCTGTTTGAACAGGAGGTGGCATTGGTGGTTTGGGAGACACTTTTGCTTTTCCTAAGGAGGTTCAAGTTGCAGAAAATTCATCTTGACCTGACTTGAAAAGGAGATAAGCTGTTGTACTGTTGGTGTTGTCAGCAGATGAGTGTGTGCTCAGGGCTGCTCAGCACCGTGCCACAGGGGTTCCACTGATTCTCTCCACTTTGTAGTAATAGAACACCTTTTAAAACTGCATCATCCTCGCTTACAATTCCAAACATCAGCAGAGGATTTAGGCCACGGCTGGCCTCCAAAGGATGTCATCGTGTCTCCCCTGCAGTCTTGTGCTCTGATTTCGTGCTGAGGTCGTAGCTGAGAGTCTTCCTTCTTCTGCTTTGCCAGAGGGTTGCAAATTGCCTGGAGAAGCAGGAATTTGGGAGTAAGCCTCTTCACAGTGCTTGTATCTGAGTAACTGGGTGTTTGTTTCACTTGCAGTTTCAACAAGCAGAAACTTCACTCCCTGGTCACAGAGCGCTGCTACCCGGTAGGTGTTTATCTGGGTGTTCCTTGATTGGGTTTAGAGAAAAGGCTGTGGAAGAGATGAGAAATTATCCCTTTTTTTTTCCTCTCACACAAATACATTACAGACAAAACAGGAAGGCAAAGCACAGGCCTGAGCAGTAATGCAGCATTCATTCCCAACCCGCCTGTAGCAGTTTGCTTCTTCGATTCGCACCACGATGCATTTGGTGCTGACTTCTTTTTTTGTTGCTTTCCAGGACATGGTGCGTGGCAACAGGTACAAAACCATCCGGTGGAGCTTCGTGGAGTCACTGCAGCCTCCACGTGTGGTTCACATCCGATGCACCAGCATTGTGAACCAGGGCAACCTGTATGGGCAGGTGACGGTGCGGATGCACAGCAGGCAGGTGTGTGTCCCCCCCATCCCTCCCTCCTGCCTTTCCCAGCTGATTCCAGCTCAATTCATCTTCCTGTTTGCAGACTTTGGCCATCTACGACCGCTTTGGGAGGCTGATGTACGGCGGGGAGCAGCTGCCCAAGGATGTTCTGGAATATGTTGTGTTTGAGAGGTACTTGGTCAACCCGTACGGCACGTGGAGGATGCACGGCAAGATCGTCCCAGCGTGGGCTCCACCAAAGGACCCCATTGTGAAGGTAAAGCTGTGGCCCCTGTCTGCAAAGTGCAGCTGCTCTGTGTTCCTTTGTTCCTCACATCAGGCAGTGCCACTGCCACAACCCTCTGCTCACCCTCCCTCGTGCTCTTACTACAGCTGCAGGCCATGCTGAGTTTTGTCCTTGCTGTTTCAGACGGTGATGATTCCTGGCCCAGCCTTGGATCCCTCACAAGAGTATGAGGAAATGAAGTAGGGAATTTCAGAGCCTGAACTCGGAGAGAAGTGCAAACAACCCTGAGGGACAAAGCAGGGAATGTCTGTGGAGGCAGCAGGATGGACATCGCTGTGCCTTTGGTGCGCAGTCAGCAAACAAAGCAGCTTCAGAAATGGACTCCAGGCACTGAGAGACTGCCTGAAAAAAGGAGCAAGAGGGGCCTGGGAGGTGGCTCATGTGAGCTCTGAGGGCTGTGGGGCTGCTCTCCTGCCTGACTTCTGTGCTTGCACGGCTAGAGCTGCTGTCAGCACACATCTGGGCAGACGTGGGGCATAGGATAAACCTGGGGGCTCTCATTAAAGTCTGCAGCAGAAGCTGTTGGTGATTCCTTTTCCCATTCTTTCCCCCATCTGCACAAATTTCGAGTTGTTTTATTTTACCAGAAGGGCAACAAGCAGGCTTTAAATTGGTTTCTCCTGGGTGGATGCTGCAGTTGGAGTCCTGCTGAATGCGTGCTTGTTGCTGGCCATAAAACTTGTGATTCATAAGCTCAGTGTTTGTGTCAGCTAACATCAGAAGGCAGCACTTCTCACAGCTGCTGTGTTTCAAAGCATTGGCTGCAGGCACTCAGGAGCCTCGCAGCAGATGTCCTTAGTGGGTAGCTGGCACCATCCTGTGCACGTGGTGACGTTGACAGCAGGCCCTGTGCTTCTGCAGGCTGTGTGTCTGAAAGCCTCACGCCTGAGCACTCAGCCCTTTTGTGGATGCTGTTCTGTGTTACTGTCACGCTCTGCTAGGAGAGCAGCCAGAGTTGGAATCCCCATCATCTCTTGGTAATTGGGGGTGTCACAATCTGTCTGCCTCTCCTGGAGGATCCCACTGCATGCAGCCCTCTGCTGTGAGGCAGTGCTGCAGCACACGGCAGGGGGGCTGGGAGCAGAATAGTTTGAGCTGCCTGCTTGGTGGACGTGGCTCAGGCCTGACCGTGGGCACAGCTCTGCTCAGGTTTTGAACTAAAGGAGTGCATTTTCCAGGAGGGCAGCATTTCTTTCCAGTCTCCTCGTCACCTTTGCTGATATTTGGGCTGTGATATTTGCTGTGATTAAAGCACTGCTGTTCCTGGGCTTTCTTTACAGCCTCTCTGCTGCAGCTCATCCCTGAGCATCCCCCCCTTAATCAGCCACTGCGAGCACTCAGGATAAACATTTATTTCCTATCTGTACTCTTCCTTACACGAGTGGGTGATGGATATTTGGTGCTGGAGATCCCAATGCTCCTCCCAAGGAGAGAGGAAGCAAATGGAGAAGGGATGGTGGGATGAGCCCCGCATCCAGCAGCGCTGGGCTCTGGGCAGTTGCTCTCCTGTATGCTGCACTGCAGCTGCCCCTGCTTTGCCTCCCCTTGAGCTCATGACAGAGCATGAACCGCAGCCCCGTGGCGCTCGGGGCCCTGATGCCATTCAGCTCCAAACCTCTGTGATGCCCAAACAGTTCAGAGCCTGGATCTCTGACACAGGCAGCGTCGTTGCTGCGGTTGCTGCAGCACCGTGGCTTTGTTGGACGCTTCCACCCCCATCCACGCAGTGTGGGCAGCTCCCTGCACCCCAGGGCTGAGCTGAGTTCTACTCACAGTCCCACGGGCAGACCTCAGCTCTGGACGCTCCTGCATCCCTCTCACTCTCCCCAGGGCTTTTCTCCCCATGGCACACAGCGACCGCTCCCAGGGTTGGGCTGCTGGGGGCTTCCGGACCCTCCTCGGCTTCCCAGGGACAGACCTCAGCTGCGCTGGGCCCCCTGTGCTGCTGTGCTGCGTGAGCTCGCCCCGGTGCCGCAGGCAGGATGCGGCGCAGCGCCCGGTGCTCCCTGACCCCAACAGGGGCCGCTCTCCTGCGCTGTTCTCCGGGGCTGCAGCTCTCCTGCCCAGCACCGGGCTCTGCTGCTTCCCAGGGGCAGACGGCAGCTCTGCTCTCTGCGCTCTCACGCTTTCTGGATCCTTCCTTCCCCGTCGCCGTGCTCAGGGCTGGCTCCTCTGCCCCCACGCTCTCCCAGGGGCACACAGCCTCACGTTGGCTGCTCCCCATCCCTGCAGCTCTGGAATCACCCAGGCTCTTTGCCTTCCTCGGAGCTCCTTCCTCCAAATCTTCCTCCCAGGGGCAGATCTCAGCTTTATCCCTGGCTCTGGGCTCCTGACCCCTCGATGTGCAGAGCTCTGCGCTCTCCCAGGGGCACACGGCCTCACGTTCCCCACTGCCCCTCTGCTTTGCAGACGCGTTTCCTCCCCTCTCTTTCTGCAGACCCCGACGTGCAGCAGCGCCTTTGCCCCCTCCCGATGCGCCTTCCTGGGCTTCTCTCAGTTCCCCTTTATCAGATGGGAGAGCAGCCCCCTCCCAGGGGCAGATTTCCTCTCTGCCCCCGGAGCTCCCCAGGGTCTCCCAAGGGCAGATCTCTGCCTTTGGGCTCTCAGCACTGCGGGACACCCCCAGGCTCTCCACGGACCTTGCAGGGCTGACGAGAGCTGCCTGACGTGTGATGCGCTTCGCAGCCCCCCCAGAGCTCAGCTTCATCCTCGGCTGCTCCACAGGGGGGGTGGCCGTTTCCCAGGGGCAGATCTCCTCTTTGCTCCCCCCTGCTCCCCCCTGACTCTCCCAGGGGCAGATTTCTGCTTTGTTGACCCCTGGCCCCTCCTGTTCCTCCCAAGGGCAGATCTCCGCTTTGCTCCCACCTGATCCACTCTGTCCTTCCCAAGGGCAGATTTCAGCTTTGCTCCCCCCTGACCCCCTCTGTCCTTCTTGAGGGCAGATTTCTGCCTTGCTCCACGCTGACCCACCTTGACTCTCCCAGGGGCAGATTTCTGCTTTGCTGACTCCTGATCCCCCCTGTTCCTCCCAAGGGCAGATTTCTGCTTTATTCCCTCCTAACCCCCCC